GAACTTCTTACTGATTTTTTTACTTTCAGGGTCTGGTGGCAAAGTCTGTCGGGAGTTTGGGGGGTTCAAATTAATTGGTAGTTCCAGGGGAGTGAGATGGGTAGTTTCCTCTCTTGCAATTGAGAGCCTCTAAAAATCCTCTGGAGGACAGGAGCTCTGGTGGTCTAGTGGCAAGACGCTGCACTGCAATCCCAGAGGTATGTGGTTCAAATCCACCAGATGCTCTGCGGAGGAGGGGGGGCCATCTCCTCCTGTACCAGTCAGATCTGATTTGATGGGATACGCAAAAACAATACAATAAAAAAATCCTCTGGAGGGTCAGCTATGAGGTGGTGCCTACTTGATAGCAAAGAGCTTAGGACAGAGCTTGGAACAAAGAAGGTGTTAATAGGATTAAAGTTTCCATCTCTCCCTGGAGGTGAAGGGTTGGCAGGGAGAAAAGTTCAACAACGAATGAATGGAAATCCAGAGTCTCTGTAAACTTTTACTAAAATTAATGATAATTAAAAAAATGAAAGGGCAAATAGGTGATGTGGAAAACAATGTATACAAACTTTGTAAGTAAACCAGGATAAAATAAAAATAAAGGTTGCTTCTCTGACATCTAGAAGAAAAAGTGTGATACTATAATGTGTATGACTTTTATTTTTATTAAATAAAATATATACTTTCTTATAAATATTAAAAAATGAAAGTTTCCATCTCTCTGCGCTCTGATTGTCCGTGGACTGGAAGTTCAGGAATGAGTCCTCTCGTTCAGAGGTCTAGGTGACCTGACCACTATGCGTCCAGCCACACAGGTGGCAAAGCTGCCCCCCTGTGGCCCTTTAATGCCAACCCTGCAGCTTTCTCCCCAACCAGATCTGCCTCTTCCTGAACAAAGAGTACTTCACCCATCATGACAGTCACACCCTGGTACCTTCGTGAAGTTCCAGCGCTGGATGAAATGACGCGCCACGTCTCGAGCCGCCTTCCCGTGAACCACAGAGGCGATGTCATGCCAGGGCATCCGGGGTGTGGAGTACCTGTCGATGAAATCTGCCCAGGTGCACCAGGCAACGGATGGTTGATCAATACCTGGGACAAGAGGCCGTGCCTCCCTCTGTGACTCAGAAAAGTGTGTGTTCATGTCTACGGAATGTACACTTCTTGACTTGGGTCGAACTCCCAAGAGAAGCACAGGTCTTATCCTGACAAACACAGCCCCTCCTCCTCAAGTACGTCCCCAAACAGTGGGAGTTAATTACGAGATCAAGCTTGATGGGAGTTGGAACAAATGATAATGGGTGATTACTTTGTATTATATTTTTCCTTTTCATCTTCCTGAAATAACAACAGGCCATCTCTAGATTCTTTTAAGCACAGAAGCATTAATATAAAAAGATGTAAAAATACAATACAATATAAAATACAATTGTATATAAATACAATATAAAAACATGCCATCCTAATGTTGGAAATTGGAAGATGGTAAACAGACAAGAAGATGATCAACAGAGGCTACGATATCTTAGAGAAAGACCAACATGTTGTTACCTCAAAACTACACCTAACAGAAACCTGGTTTTCCTAATGTGAGACCCCGATTTCATGTTCTTTTCTTCCTCTAACTACAGGTAAATATTGTTTCAGTACCTACTTGAATCATAGTTTCCAAAGGTTTACCAAATATCCGCAAACAAAAAAAAACCAGAAGAAGATAATTACATCACACACTCACCTACTCCTTGGGGTGCTAGAGGGAAAACCAGCCATCCATCCACACAAACGATTACTCACCTGCAAAAGGTTTGTCTAGCTGCACCCAGTCTTTGAAGACAAAGTTGCAGTAATCCTTCCCGTGCCAGAATCTGGTTTCCCCATGCAGCTCCCCCACGCCTGTCTGTAAGCTGCGGATGGAGCCCGTGTCTGAAAGCAACCACAGCAACACCTGCTCAGAGGCTGTCCTCAAGTCTAAGGCTAAGCTCTCATCACAAAGCTTGTAAAGAAACAGAAATGTTTGCCCTGAAAACTGGTGACTAAGATAATCAGTGCCTACTTGAGTAGAAGCTGAGGGCCGCCGCTGTTGGTAGCCTATCTCAGGGTTACGATGAGTGGGGAGACGGAGGTGTAGGCAGGTTTATCATCATCCACGCTCAGAAGCTCAAAGCCATGACTGCTGACTTTGGAGGCTGTAAATCACAAAGGAGACAGGTCCCCAAGGAGTAGCGGGCGCATTTGCCTCAGCAGAGAGCTGCCACCGTGGAATTTGCAGCACGACTCCCTGTAGACCATGCCACAAGTGCTCCCTATGGAACAGGACTGAGCAGTCTTAGTCTTTGGGCAATTGGTTCTCACCATCTGCCAGATCACGGGAAGAAGCAGTCACAAGACTAATAGTGAATCAAGAACTCAAGAGAACGGGCGATGGGAGCAGGAAAACCAGGTCAAGGTGTGAGATGCAGAGTGGGGTGTTTTTGTTTTGTTTTGTTTTGTTTAAAAAAAAAAAAGACAAGTCATGCCCTTTCATCCACTAAATATGGTACCCATGTAATGCATCATTCTTGCCTCTTGTATCTCAAAAAGAAAGAAACTCAAATTTAGAGACAGTCTCCATTGCAGTCTTGGAGGTGATGTTTGGCTTCACCATCTCAGGTCAGAAAGCACTTACGTACAAAAAAGAAGAGTTTGGTCTGCGTGGTATTTGAGACTTTTGGGACTTTAACATTCAACATCTCTAAAATCATAAATGACATTTGTAAGAATTACACAATCCCAGAGGCACACAGTTCAAATCCCCCAGATGCTCTGCTGGAGAAGGAAGGCAATTTCCTCCTGTACCAGTCAGATCCGATTTGACTGTACACACACAAAAATTATTTATTTTTTTTTTTAAAAAAAGAATGACACAAACAAAAGCAGGCGTTTAAGATCACACCAGTGCGATAGCAGCCGTCTACTACAGCATTTCACAAAGAGCTATGCTGGAGCCATTCTACTTTCAGGGTAAATACTTTTTGTTTAGAAAGTTGTTTTAGATTGTGCGAGCCATGCAGACAACTGAACAGGAGACCTAGAGGAACCAGAAGTCACAAAATAGTGCTTGGCACGATGAGACGCTGTGCAAATGGGTATTAGATGCAAAACTGTGCATGGAATGAATACATGGCACTGCAGACAGTAACCAGTGAAAGTACTGGGTGGTCCCTCTACCACCACACTGCCCCCAGCCTGGTCTAAACTCCTCTCCTGACAAGCTTCTGGGATCACCTACTGCTCAGAGATTCAAGTCCAAGGGTATTGTGTAGCTGGAGGTTCTTCCTATTGGAGTCAAGCCATCTTTCCAGTCGTGTTTTCACCCACCCGTCTGCAGGCCCCACAAGGACCATATTTCTCACTCTCTTCTGCCAGACTTGGTCTGCCAGGCACTATTGTGCTGCCATATTATTCTTTCTGTCTGGAATGTTCTTATTTCCCTCTTGCACAAACTGAGATTTGTACACCAATGTTCATATCAGCATTATTTACCATTGCAAGAACATGGAAACAACCCAAACATCCAAACACAAACGAAAGGATTGAGAAATTATGGTAGATTCACACAATGGAATACTATGCAGCACACAGGAGCAATAACTTTGTGAATTATTACCAGACTTGGGAGGGACTGGAGAGCATTATGCTGAACTTAGTCCCACAAGGATAAATATTGTATAAGACCGTTATTGTAGAATGAGTATAAAGATTTTGGAGGGGTGGGAAAGGCTGAAAGCAGAGGGATGTGGATGTACAGAGGGAAAAGGGGATTAATCATGAGGTTATACAATTTGATGGTGAGGGAAACTGAAATAATTTATTCAAATTTGTATTAGAATTTTATAAATAAACTAGTGGGGGAAAAAATAAAATACACATTTTTTAAAGGAGTCGTATCTGCTGGCATTGTCCTAGAGAGAGATAATAAATGACATAAATGAGTGTAGGAAAAGTCACTACACTTGCTGGTGACCCATTCACCAAAGCCTTTGACTCTGTGATTCAACTCTTGAAGTGCAGGCTACGAACGTTTCTAGAGTAGATAATGTATCTTCCTACTGCCAAGTGCTACTGGCTGTAGAGAGTGATCGATAAATATTGCAGAACAAAAGTTTTTAAACCATAACCATGCACTTTCACTAAGGACCACATACATTTTTAACGTCTAACTGAATACTTTCCAAAAGTTATTGGTATTTTCTGTAAAAGAAAAATGTCTTCACGGTGTCAGATAGTAACAAAACTAAATCATGCTAAAAATAGAGTTCTATTAACTTCACTCAAGTGACTTGGTTTTTTCCCTGCTGTAAAATACAGAAATGGCCAGGTTAGCTAGTAGATTTGTCTGTTTACTTCTGGAGATGGTAAACGCCTTGTTATTTTGTGAAAATAATTGAATTATACATTCATTTCCCTGTTTCCACTGAAAGTTTTTAGTAACTACAGAATTACCTCAGTGGGTGAAGTATTAACCTTGCTCTTCCCCATTCTCCTACCTGTGAACTTTTACGTGTTTCCATTTTTCCACTCCTAATAAATAATTGTGTGCTGGCAATGTGTTCAGTTAATTAGGGAGGGAGCTGGTGACAGATGCACAGAATGCACTCTGTCAAGGTCTGCGAACCCTATATATTGGCCTCCCCACGCCATCACTGTAAACATTGCCTTTCTGAGCCTGAGCTTGACCTGACATATTCATGCGTTGGGCCCTCAGCTCATATGTTCTTTTCCATTTACCCCTACAATCCCATTGATAGCAAGACTATGACTTGGTTACAGTTCAGATCCCTTAACTTCATGATTTGCAAGCTCAATTTCATTAGAAAAAGATAAAATGAAGCATTAAGAAATAACTTCCATCCTGAATCATCAGAGCCACACACGAGAATGCCAAGAAACTCCAAAGACCTGTTTTGAATTCTTTCCTTTTGCTTCTGCCCCTTCATGTGCCCCTGACCTCGTTCTCTGTCTATCCCAGAGACCTCTAGGTCTCCATTCTCTGGGCTCAAGAACTCTGCTGAGGTCAGGAATAACTAAGGGTGGCCCTTGAATTCATATTTATGTTTCTCTCTCTCTCTCTCTCTCTCTCTCTCTCTCTCTCTCTCTCTCTCTCACACACACACACACACACACACTCACTCACTCTCTCTCACAAACACACACATACACACACTCTCTTCTCTCCCAGAACATGCTGAGTGAACTAACTCAATATGATACGGACAAATACTGCATACGACCGTTACTGTAAAAATAGAAGGATCACTAGTAAGATGTGTATAAATGTCCAAAAGGGGAGAGAAGGAGGATAGGGTAGAGAGAGGGTGGAAAGGGAAGAAATTATGGTAACAGAGTTTGGTGGGCAGAGGGAATGAATGAAGGAATTAGGAAAGAAACAATGGGGGTCTGAAAAGATGGGGTAATAGTCATAGATCAATAGTGATGAATTATAAGACACAATATATATGAGTAATCATTTGACAATTTTTTTAGAATAAGTAATTTTCTTAATGTTGATAAAAACATATATAGGCAGTAAGAAATGGTGTCAGTAATGATAAACCTTAGGTTTGGGCCTTATTTAAAATATCAATTTAATGAAAAAGTACTGTTAAATAAGAACATACATATATAGATTTATACTTATCTTATTATGATTTACAAAATATAAATTAATTTCATAATTATATTGGAGCTAGACAAAACAGACAAAATAAAATTCATCAACATTTTGAAAAACCTCAGAGGTTTTCAAAACATCCTGACCTTGAAATGGGTCCTCACGCAAATGACCACTGAGAATGTGAGGTCCAGCCTCACCCACTGCATGGATTCCTGCCAAACACAAGTGACTCAGACCCACCTACCTCAGCGGAGCTCTAACATCTTCATGCTCTGAAGAGTGGAATGAATATTCGGCCTTGGGATTTAACCTCAAAAGTGAAAGTTATCTGCTAAATCATAAATCTGCGTCAGGAGCACTAGAAGGCTGATAAAGTGGGTCATCATTAAGCGACTCACTGATTTACAAGGCTGAGCTTTCTCACCTGTAGAATGAAGGCAGCAATATTTCTACCAAACCCCACAATTATTTAGGACAGTGGCAAGTGGAAACTGCACATTTCAAATGTCAACTGATGATGGTCCCAACAGATGTCATTTGTTATTATTATTTCTATTATATGGTTTTCTTATGTGTTATTTTTATAATCCCTTGCATCTATATTTCATCAGTTGTAAAATTACTCTTCATTCCTACACTTTTAATTAAATGCACCTTTTAAATAAGGCCCATATCCAACATCTATTATTACTGACACATTTCTTATTGCCTATATATGTTTTTGTCAACATTAAGAAAGTTGTTCTTTGTTGTTATGTGCTATGGAGTCCCTCCCGATTCATTGCAACCCTATGTACAACAGCCCTGAAACCTGCTCTGTCCTGTGCCAACTTTACTGTCTCTGACACACCTACTGTCATTACCCCAGTCACTGTATCAACCCATCTCATCAATGGTCTCCCTCTCTTTCTCTGTCCCTCCACCCTTCCAAGCATGACATCCCTCTCCAAGGACTGGTCCCTCCTTGAAACATGCCTAAAATATGTCAGATGAAGCCTCAGAATCCTTGCCTCCAAGGAGCAGCCTGGCTTCACCCTCCCCAGGATGAATCTGTTTGTTCTCCTAGCTGTCCATGGTACATTCAACACTCTTCTCCAGCACCACAGCTCAAAGGCATCAATTCTCTTTCTATCATCCCAACTCATTCTAAAAAGTCTTCAAATGATGACACACACACACACACACACATATATAGTGAGTTATAATATATCACTTGATATATTCATTCTTGAGAATATGGCTCTTTTAGAAAAAGTTATTTTATTATAAAAACTAAAATTACACTTAAAGTACTTCCTACTCACTTGAAGGTCTTCAAAATTCTTAACAAAAGTCCCACTCCTCAACTTAATATTTTAGCTCTCATATGTGGTCATCACATATTTTCCTATTCCTAAACAACATGCCTCTGGAAACTCTATGAATGTTGATAAATGTCGATAGTTGTAGAGGAGCTTCAGGCCTTTTGTTCAGAGGGTCGTTATGAGTCATCCTTGACTTGAAGGCAATCAACAACAGTCTTCTACTACTTGTCAGCTGTGGGGTGCTTTCCCCCCTTGTTCTTGTTGTTATGTGCCGTCAGTCACCTGCAACTCGGTGAACCCATGTACAACAGCCCTAAACCCTGCTCTGTCCTGTGCCAATCTCATTGTCTCTGACACACCCAAGCCAACTACCCCAGTGACTGAATCAATCCACCTCATAGAGGGTCTACCTCCCTGGGCTGTCCCTCCACCCTTCCAAGCATGACATCCCTCTCCAAGGACTGGTCCATTCTTGCAACATATCCAAAGTATGTTAGACAGAGCTTCAGTATCCTTGCCTCCAAGGAGAAGCCTGGCTTCACCCTCTCCAGGACAAACTTGTTTGTTCTCCTAGCAGTCCATGGTATAGTCAATACGCTTCTCCAGCACCAAAGCTCGAAGGCATCAATCCTCCTCCTATCCTCCCTAGTCATTGTCCAGCTCTCTAATATATAGAAAGTGATTGCAAAGACCATGGACTGTATCAGGTGCACCTTAGTCTCCAGAGAGGCATCCTTGCTCTTCAGTACTTTGAAGAGGTCTGTAACAGCAGCTGCTAGATTCAAAATATGTCTTTGGGTTGGCAACACATCTCTTTGTCACTAATTGATAGCATTTCACTGGTTGATATTTGAAATATATCACTAAGTATTCTTAGTTCATCTCAGTCTAGAAGATTCATGAAAACCTATTCACATTATATTGTTGTTGTTATGAGTCAAATTCATCTCTGACCCTCCAGTGGGTTTTCAGAGGCTGTAAATCACATGGGAAGAGACTACCTATCTTTCCTCTTCAAAGCGGCTAATGGTTTCAAACCCCCTCACCTTGGAGCTGGCAATTCAACTCCCTATTAAGAGGACACCCAAGCTACAGCAACTCCGAAGCCTCCAATGGCTGGGGATCAAGCCTGGGTCCCCTTCCTGGAAGGTGACAAGTCTCCCCCTGAAGCCCTGCTGCCTTGTGCGGATTCCAGGTATGCTCAGTCCTCGGTGCTAGAGTGGACGCTCACTGGGGGAGCAGAACCTGGCGTACCACCCAGGGCTTTGCACAGAGTTAACTGTCAAAACACACAAGAACAAAAACTGCAAGCACAGAGCCAAGACAGGAACACGCTAACGGTGCCCGTGCAGCAGACAGACCAGCAAAAGCTGAAGCCCACGGAGGTTCAGCTGCGTCACGCGTCACTTACCCCCGTTAGGTCTAACGAGTCCTTGCTCGGATTCGCTGGAATGGCGGAAGAGTTTCAAGTGGGGTTTTAAACCATGGATTAAATTCTGATGACTCCTACAAGGTTTAGAGTAACCTGGAGAAAGGCGAGAGTCCTTTTTTCCTTAAGCAAAGAAATATATTGATCTCTCTCTATGTTTATATGTCTACACACATGTAAGTACGTTTATGCCTCTATACATGTATCAACTGTTCAAAATGTGAAAGCAAATGGCATCATTTTTAAAAATCGGCCAAGCCATACATAAAGCTGTTATAAATCCTGGGCAACAGAAAACTGCTGGGCTTTAAAAACAGATTTGAAAAGAATAATAAATTTACAGCATGTAGAGAGTCTGACGATACAAGCAAGATACATTCCTGAATGGAGTTTCTTCTGAAAGCAAAGTTTGTAAAGTACATTTAATGCTTCTCTTTCCTTTTTGGATTGGCGTAGGAGCCCTTAGTCAGTCTGCTGTCATCCGAAGCATGAATGGTGCTTGTTACGATTACATTGTGTGCATAAAACAATCATTTTGCTTCAAAACAAGACAGCAAAGCCATAAAATGGCATGATGTTCTGTAGGAGGAGAGGGTGATCTTTCAGCATTTCTCATTTTTATCACACGCTAGAAAGACAAGTTTTGACAAAAGGGGTAGGTTGCGTCTGGCTAGGAGGAACCGAGGGGGTCACGTTAATTCAGTGCAGAGACAGGGACTTACGGGAGGTGGTGTCAAGGCTGCTGACGCTGTCTGCATTTTGCAGGTGGTGCCTTTGCAGCTGCTGGTAGAGGTTGAATTTGGGGAACTTTCTCGGCTTTCCAATGCCTTTCATTTTTGAATCCATGTCATCCACAGTCTTCAAGATGGGTGGGCTTTTATTAGATTCGCTTTTATCTTTGAGGCATAAAGATTCTATCGACCCTGTTGTTTCAGCCTGAGGAAATTATTTACAGGAAAGAAGGGGTGAAAAAGAAGACACTGCGTAAGACAAGTTGCAATAAGACCCTTTAGTTTCAAGTTACAATAAGACACTTTAGTTTCAAATAGAGCTGAGGGATGAAGTTAATGTTTACAAATAAGGAGACTCCAGTGTAAACAAACAGGAAGGTCCTGAGGTTAGCAACAGGTTCAAGGTGAGCTTTTTAAACACTGGAGAAAGAACATCCGCCACTCTCCTGGGGTTCCTCTCTTAGTAGGTCAAGTTCTTAACATTTCATGTCAAGCACTCTATTCTTTTTCCAGATACTTGACTTGCATTCAGTGCTGAGCTACTGAACATCTATTCCTCTGATAAACATGCAATGTGTCTTCTGACCATCATTTTCCTTGTTACGTATTCACGGAAGTGATACCTTCTCAGAAGTTACCGGCATGATCAGCATTAAAACAGATGGCGCTATCAGCACTTTTAATTACACGTGTTTTGACAGCTCTTGATTTGTCAAGTACGGTGAGACAGCATCATTTCCTGCTTTCAAATAGCCTTCCCTCTAAATGACCGCACAGTCTGACCATCCTTATACACCTTTAACTCTTTCCTGAGCGAAGGGACATAGGTCTCCCGGCATGATCATCCTCTCTGGATTCTTGAGAAACTTCAGTCTCAGTTGGAGAAGGTTCCTGCCTGCTGGGGGCCTGTATTAATGCATGAATCTGAAGAAATAGGCTGTACCCCATCCTAAGATTATCACCAAAGTCCACTGGGGACATAGGTGTCCCAAATAATTGCAAACAAAATTCACATTGTAAAAAAAAAAAATAAATTCATGATTTCCCTTGTTTTAAACATGCTTTTTGTCACTGAAACACTCCCCCAAAACCTACTGCCATGAAGTTGTTTCTGACTGAAGGTCATTCTTCATTCACAGGTTTCTAAGGAGTTCTGGTGGCCTAGTGGCAAGGAGCTGCCCTGTAGTCTTAAAGGCACGTAGTTCAAGGCCACCAACTGCTCTGCAGGAGAACGATGGTCAGTCTCCTCCGGTGTGATCAACTGTCTCTGGAAACCTGCCGGAGGGTCAGCTATGGGTCAGTTCCAACTCGACAGAACACAACAACAAGTCTTTACTAGAGGAAACTGCCTATCTTTCTCCTGGAAAGAAGCCAGTGGATTTGAACTGCCAACCTTTCCATTAAAAGTGCAACATGTAATGCACCATGTCACCAGGGCTCCTTAAACACTGGGTATCAACAACAACAACAGCAACAAATAATAAAATCTAAAACATTAAAATAGTTGGTCATATATGGGATAAATAAGAGTGAGTCTAAAAATGTCAGTAACTATGTCTAAGAAGACTTCTGTTATTGAACCTAAATCTTGGTGACTGCTTCACATTTTTGTTTATGAGCTTTAAAAAAGTTCTAAAAATAATGCAGCCATATTTAAAAAAAATTGACAATAGAGCAAAGGGGGGGAAATCTATTTAGAATATCTTTTGAAGCTAACATAATGTTTCCAACCCAGTATTAACTTTTTGATTATGATTAACTGTAGTTCTTCTTGTTTACTAATTGTAGTAGTTGTTGTGTACCATCAAGTTGGAATTGATTTCTGTGTGACCTTCCAATGGGTTTTCAGAGGGAGTAAATTGCATGGAAGGTTATTGTTGTTGTTGTTGTTGTTGTTAGGTGGTGTCCAGTCGAGTATGACTCATAGTGACCTGATGAACAAAAGATCTGAACCCTGTCCTATCCTGTCTGTCCTCACACTTCTTGACTCCAAGAGTCACTGCAGCAGTCACTGTGTCAATCCACTGGTCGAAGGCTTGGGAGGAGATTGCTTATTTTCCCACTGAGGGGCTGGTGGATTCGAACTATGTACCTTCAAGATTGCAATTCAGTTTCTTATCACTAGGTCACCAGAGATCTCTGATTAATGGTTAGCTGTCAACATGAATGGGCAGGGATGACATAGCAAATTAAAATTCTATAAATGTCTTATTTGTGGTTATAAATACAGAGAAATATGGCCTGATTATTGACACATCACTCCCATCACTGATGAGTCAAAACCAACTCCAAGGGGGTTTGGAGACTATAAATTGCACGAGAGGAGAGTGCTGGGTTTGCTGGTGGATTCAAAGGCACGGCCTTTGGCTAATGGTGCTATTCCCTCCAGACAACACCCCAGGACTCTCTACTGATGCACAGCGAACAGGAGCTCAGTGCTGTTGAGGCAGACGCAGCTAAGACCTGACCTCCTGACAGATTTTGAGAGGCTGTCAATTTCTTGGGCAGATACCATCCATCTTTCTGCCTGGCCTTTATTTAAACTGGGGCCTTTGTTTTCAGAGCACACTTGGACACCTGAAGCTCAAAGGTTACTTACTGACACATAGGTTCTAAAAAACATCAGAGGATTTGATCTTTGGAGGAAAAACATCATGAAAATCTTAAATACAAGTTACAACAAAGTATGCAGCATGTAATATGAAATAGAATGTAGGAAAAGTATATCACCAAGGGAGCTCTAGTGGCCTAGTGGCAAGGAATCTGCACTATAATCCCAAAGGTGTGTGGTTCAAGACCACCAGATGCTCCGCTGCAGAAGGAGGGACAGTCTCCTGTGCCAGTCAGATCTGATTCAATGGCACACAGTAAGGGGGGGGGGAACATATCACCAAATACAACCTATCAGATGGGAAATGACAACCTCATCAACAAATGGTGCTGGCAAAGCTGGACTGCTGCCTGCAGAAAGCTGAGACAGGATCCGCATCTCACACCACACACAAAAATCACCTTAAGGTGGATCAGAGACCACCAGTCCCAAACCACAAAGTTCATTAGGGACAATCTGGGATCAAGCTTAGACAGCCTAGTCTATGGTATAAAGAGACTGCCAAATACAGCCAGAAATGTACAATATGAAGAGGATAAAATTGATGAATGGGACCTTCTAAAGAGTAAATCCCTGTGTGCATAAAAAATATTTTCCAACAGAGTGAAAAGAAAACCTACTGACTGGGGAAAAAACATTTGGCAATTCCATTTCAATCGAGGGTCTCATATCAAAAGTTTACAGAATCCTACAAGGCCGCCACAAGAAAAAGACTGATAACCCAAATACAAAATGGGCAAAAAACATGGAAAAATTTTCACAGAGGAAGATATTCGGATGGCCAACAGCCACATGAAGAAATGCTCAAAATCACTGGCGATAAGAGAGATGTGAATCAAAACCACAACGAGATACCATCTCACTCCAGTAGCAGTGGCAAAGTTTAACAGGACAGCAAGTAATAAATGCTGGAGAGGATGTAGTGAGACAAGAACTCTTATACATTGTTGATTGGATTGCACAATGGGACAAGCACTCTGGAACGCAGTTTGGTGCTTCCTCAAAAAGCCGAACATAGAAATTCCATATGACCCAGCTATTACACTGCTTTCAATATACCCTGAGAGAATTAAAACTGAGGCACAAATAGAGACTTGCATTATTCACCATCGCAAGAACATGGAAACAGCCCAGATGTCTAACCACAATTGAATGGATTGAGAAATTATGGTGCATTCACACAATGGAATACTATACAGCACATAGGAGCAATGATTTTGTAAATTATTCCCTAACTTGAAAAGGACTGGAGAGCATTATGCTGAGTGAACTAACTCAGTCCCATAAGGCAAATATTGTGTAAGACCATTATTGTAAAACGAGTATGAGGATCCAAGGGGGGGAGAATGGGAGCAGAGAGATGAGGATGGGTGGGTGGGGTGTCACTAGTCACAGGGTTGCACAACTTGATGGGTGGAGGGGGGTAGTGAAGGAAATGGGAAGATCTGGAATGAAAAACATTGTATACAAACTTTGTAAATAAACCAGTATAAAATAATATTTTTAATCATATCACAATTAGTGGCAAAGCTAACTGTATCTGGTGCAGTACCGACCATCATGGATTAGTTATGGTCATAACCCCCAGCCTCGCCTGAGCCACCTATCATGGTCTGATGACTAACCTAAGACCCTTGAGAAGCCCCACTACTAGACCTCTGTGAATTGCTGCTTCAGAGTCATTCGACATTACTGCCACTGCTGTCATGTTTTTAAGATACTGTTTGAATTACACGCACTTCTGTAAGCTGCCTTTCCCAGACCCCTGCTTTTCAGAACCAGGCAGGGATAACTGACACGAGTGATCATTTTAAGTGACTGCTCTACGTCTGTCACCAACTCAAACTTTGCAGTAATTACCTTCCTTAATGGCTTTTAAGGGTACTCTGGTGACACAGTCCACAGAGAGCTGTGTTCCTAACCACCAAGTGATGAGTCTTCGGTGCTTTAATCAGCTCTACAGGAGAAAAGAAGGGCGATCTCCTCACATGGGATTTACAGCCTTGGAAACCCACAGGTGAGCCAGCTACAGGTCACTCTGACTTGACCACAGTGAAAGCGAGTGAGTGAATAATCCTGACTATCATACGTCCATACATACAGCATTAGCTGTAGCATTAATTACTGGACACTTAAGATCTGTCAGGCTTTGTGTTAACAATCGGATATAAATTTTTTCTCTTTCACAAGAGAACATATGTTACTTGTCCAAAGTCACATGTTAGCTTGGTAGGGAAGCTAGTATTTGAAACCACGTCTATCTGATTGTGGTGTGACAAAGAGTCCTGAATATGGCATGAAATGCCAAAAGAACAAACAGATCTGTCTTGGAGGAAGGGCACCTAGGACGCTCCTTCGAGGGGAGAATGGTGAAACATCACCTCATCTACTTAGGACATGCAGCCAGGAGGGGCCAGTCCTTGGGAAAAGACTTTGATGCTGGGTCTGTGAAAAAAAGAAAGACCCTCAATATGATGGATTGACAGTGACCGTATCAACGGCCGTGAGCATGTTGAAGATCATGAAGATTGCACGAGATAGGGCAAGGCTCAGATCTGTTGACCGAAGAAGGTCACTATGAGTAGTATTTAACTCAATGTCACCCATCAACTATCACCTGGTATTTAACTCAATGTTATTTGCCCCTATCATGAAACAATCAATGCTACTCTATTGATAACTGTTTATACAGTTTAGAAGGGAGCTGTGGTTGCAGTTAACCCAAAATTGGAGCCTCTTTGAGAGTTGGAATCCACCAGCGGCTCCAATGGGCGGATGGGTAATCTCCTCCCAATGATTTATATACAGCCGCCCCCCGATGTTCACTGAACAGTTTTAGGACAGTGATGTTTGTCTTACTGTGAGGGAGGCCACTGACGGCCCTGTTGTGATGCGCTTCACGCTGCCCACGTCCGTCAGTCTGTGCTCATTGTCGTCCCATCTTCCATAGGCCAGGTCGATCCCACCCACAAAGGCGACCGACTGGTCGACGATGACCAGCTTCTCGTGGTGAGCCCACAGATACACGGTGGAGGACACGTGGTCAGGGTGCCGCATCACCTTGGGAGGAAACAGAACACAGTGGATGCAGGCCCGTCCTGTGACAGCTCTGGATCTGAAAGGAACTCAGTCACTAACCGCCTGTGACAAGAACCTCTGATGCAGTAAATGACTACAAACAATGCACTAAGTATCTCAAGGTTTTTAGTCTTTTTATTTCACTTTTCTGGTGGAAATTGTTCTTCCTGAAAAGGAGTGGAAAATGTCCTTTTAAACTCTATCACATGCTAATTTTTAAACCTTCATGGAAATCATGAAAAAGAAATTAATTCTGAAACAACAAAGAAACAAAAACTAAAGTATACACATGTTAGATAAAATAGGTCTGTTTTTTCTCCCCTGAAAAACATTTCCTAGAATTCAAATAAAAGAACTAAAATGTACTTTCAGTTAGCAGCCAAGTTCCTTAATCACCATGCCAAAAGGTTCTTTTTATTAGGAATTAGAAGAGGAATCTCTGAGTAGTACAGAAATTTCAGTACTTGGCTACTGACTGAAAGGGTGGTGGTTCTAATTCACCTGGAGGTACCTTGGAAAGTAGGCCCAGTGAACTACTTCTGAAAGAGTCAGGCCGTAAAACATCAGTAATTACAGAATAGACACACAGTGGGTTCTGTGAAGGGAAAGGCGATAGTAGCTCTATCCTATCTATCTATCCATCTATCTATCTATCTATCTATCTATCTATCTATCTATCTATCAATCAATCATCTATATCTATCTCTCCCCTTCTCCCCCTTTAAAAATTTTAAAAAGTAAAGGGGCTTTGAAAACAAAAAATTTCCATGGGGGAATGATAAGAATTCATACACACATACACACACACACTCACAGCCCTTGAAAACTCTATCAAATCCTCTCTTGTTTGCTTATTTATTACACAATCCTGAGCTGGATGAACACGTCCCCCGCCCCCCACCTCCAGCTATGTCAATTATTCCTGAACAAACTCTATTTGCTTTATGTTTCTTGAGAAACTTGTCATTCTGACATAGTTCCTTGAACATCATGGGGCACATTTCTACTTGGATATGCAGAGAGTAACCCCAAGTCAGACTCACTGATAACTGATGTGACTTTAGACTTTAGCAATAAGAAAATCCCTCGGAAGCATCGAGGGGCTCTGCTTGTGACACAGTGTTCAAGAGACATGACAGGAAGATCATAGTAAGTGGTTCTGGGATCATCTTGATAAAAAAAAAAAGTGACAATAAAACAGAGATCTTAAACATTAAAATTACATGAGAAAGCTCGTAGTTGCTTAAAGTGTAACTTCCAAAGATCAGGGCCAGCGAAGCAAAATGTGAACTTGACTGAACCCATCAATGCAGGGAGAATAAGGAAGTACAGCTTTTGTTTCATGAATGAGAAAGAATGCAAAGATATGTATTCAAAATGGACATGAGGAAGTGATTCTGATCACAACTGCTTACAGTATGAAAACCTATCTATAAAACTCCTACAAACAAAACAAACAAACAAAAAAACTCCTACAGAAAGAAGAGGAAACACTGGTCCCCAGGATGACCCCGGATACCTTTATGTTGGGATGGAGACGCATTAAAGTCCTCTTGCTGTATTCACTGTTGATGCCAAGGGCGAGCTCCACCTCCTTGTAGAGCATGATGAAAATCCTCACCCCTTGTTGCTGTCACAAAATAAGGCGCAAGGAGGAGTGAGTGTCTCTGGGAAATACATTTTCCTTCTTCATTTCTATGCATCATATAGACTCATCCTTCTTCAACAAAGACGTGTAATAAGATATTCAACAAAAAAGGCAATATAAGATACAAATAATAAAAGTAAAAATCTCCTTATGAATCAGGGTGAAGTCTCTCTCAGGGAGGAGTGATAGGGAATGGCAAAGGACACACTGACAAAGGAGATTAATCAGAACTGGCTTTGACAAGCACTGTGGCAACTGGACAATTAAAACAGACTTTCAAGGGGGGCGGGGAAAGAAGAACGAACTGGGGAGGAGGGTGGAGAAAACAGAGCAACAATGAATGAATGAAAACCCCAAATCTCTGTAAATGTTCATTAAAACTAATTAAATTTAATAATAATGAAAAAAAGTAAAAATCTGTCTTCCTTCCATTCCAATAGCTTATCACTTCGAGCAAGAATGTTAAATATTTGACTAACTGCTGATGCAGAATGGTGACATTGTAACTCAACTGATAAAACCGTCTGATAGTCTTACACCATCTGACATTTCCAGACCCCTGTCCATGAGAGGAGGTTCAGCCTGATTCATATTACAGGATTCGAACTCCTTATTTGTTTGTTACAAACAAATTATTGCTTATATTACACCTCAACTTGTTGAAATGACAGTGAGGAAAAACTTTGTTGTAAGAAATTTAAATCATACATTTAAGACATCTTACAGGGTTGAAAAAGGTCTAATTTCTATAAGAATTGAGTATCCCCATCAACAAACAAATGGACAGAGAAGCTGTGATATATTCACACAATGGAATACTACGCTGCATTGAAAAACAAGGAACTCATGCAATATTATTCAAAACGGGTGACCCTGGAGGACATT